CTGGGGAAAATTTGGGATTAAACGGGTTAATGCCCTAATAGCAGAAGAGAAACATAAACCCACCTTTCTACAGAGATGACTCCTCAATCACACTGATGGCACTGAGACACTGAATGATCACCACAGACTGTATAATATTTACATGTTACTCTATGGAACTTCAATGAATTACAGAAGCCCAGGATCACAGAGCTGTATAGCTAGTGTGCTGAAGTCTGTGTTTGTGATCATATCGTGGATCAGAGAAGTGATGTTAATGGAGAAATCAAACACCGCCTGCTCTCAACTGACAGCCACTGATATGTCAATAACATGATCAGATTAATGATCAATCACCGAGCGCGATGGTCTGACGCGTCTGTCTTACCTGCTGGGTTTGTCTTCGGCTCGGATAATGATTATGAGGAGGAGGATGATGATGATGATGGTCTCTCTTTACGCAGATCTCATTTACTCATAAAACGTCACGTCAAGCGATTTCCATCCGAGCCGAAGCGTCTCGATCCTCGCTTGATCTCCAACGTTTAACGCGTTAAATCACCGGTAGATCCGACTCGCCTGACCATTGATCACTGCTGCGCTGGCAGACAGCGGCATTCTGGGACATCCGCGCTGCGTCACGCTTGCGTCATCGGCGTACGTCATGCGTCGTGACGCCAGCGTCTGTGAGGAAGAGAAGTGGAGGCAAAAAAAATTAAATAAAATAAAATAAAAGAGAGCGAGAGAAGCGGAGCAGCGAATCAGAATCGGTGGTAAAAACAAACATAAAATGTTTATAAAAAAAAAAAAACACAATTATTATATGTATTGTGTTTTCCCTTCGCCTTACTTAGAGCTATAACAGCCCGGCTTATTAACAGGCAAGAAAATAATGACAATCTTTAATGTAATAACCAGCAGGGGTCAGGGATGTGTTGTTGTGGGTCATTTGGCCCTAGGCCTGATCTCTACACACACTTTTGATCCACTTCATTGTATAAAAACTCTGAAGTCATTGGTGATGTGGAATAATTGAATTGATTTACATTTATTAATTTAGCAGATGCTTTAATCTACAGCATACAACAGGAATACAACAAAGCGATTCACCCTAAATACAGTGTACAGTGCTAGGGAAGAAACATGACATCATTAAATTATCTTGTGTCTTTGCAAATCATATATTGTGTTTGTTAATGCATATTTTAATGTTTCATCAAAGAATTGTTTAAAACAAGACATGGTTTGTCTTATTATCTGATTAAACGTTGCAGCATGGTTACAGAAAGACTCCTGCAATTTAAAAAATAAAGGGCAAAAACGAAGCCCAAAAATATTAAAAAAAAAAAAAAAAAAAAAAAAAAAGTTTACTCATTCCCAGAATGATCCCATAAAAAATAAAAAAACAATCATTCAAACATTCAATTATACAAGAAGATTATACATAAGATAAATCACATTTTACAACATAAATACAATAAACAGTACCGCAGTGGTTCATATTAAATAATATACCGCATGTCAACAAACATTAATAAATTCAGAAATGCTTATCACCCAATCTGTAGTTATACAGTTGAACCCAACGCAGAGATTCACACCCTCCATCTGGCCACACCTGAATGTAACGTCAACTGCTTCCAAACACTATTAAATCAACATTAGGCATTTTCCACTGCAGAAACTTTTCCAGGTTCCTTGAAATATGCTTCACGAAGCTTTACCAGCACATGAACTATAGCCTGGACCTGTTTTTAAATGACCGGTCAGTAGGCTTAGTGAAAACCTACTGAGCTGCTGCTTTCAGTTTGAGTAGCTGAAATGGATAGTTAAATATGTAGTTGAACCATCTGCCTAATATTGTGTAGATCCCCCTTGTGCTGCCAAAACAGCTCTGCTGTGTCAAGGCATGGACCCCACAAGACCTCTGTGGTATCTGACTGGAACCAAGACAAAGTAACATATCAAAATGGCATCCACATGAATGCCAGGTCCCAAGGTTTCCCAGCAGAACACTGCCTCTGCCAGCCTGTCTTCCTCCCATAGTTCATCCTGCTGTCATCTCTTCCCCAGGCAAAGGACACACTGATCTAAAAGAAAACATGATTCATTAGACCAAACTTCTTCCACTGCTCCATGGTCCAGCTGTGAACTTTCTATCACGGCCAGCATAAAGCTTTCAAAAATTTGAACTACAGTAGTTCTTCTGTGTGATCAAGTGAGACTTGGGCGCCCATGACCCTGATGCCAATTTACTGGTTGTCCTTCCTTGCACCACTTTTGGTAGGTACAAACACTGTTGCATACCGGGAACGCCCTACAAGAATTGCTGTTTCGGAGATTGTCTAGCCATCACTATTTAGCTCTTATCAAAGTCACTCATTTTTTTTCTCTGGCTCATATCTTCTGCTTCCAACACAGTGATGCAATGCAAAGTCACATGACCTGCCAATGAAAATGGAGTGATTCCACGTTTCCGACTCTAGCATGCATGCTATCCCCATAGCATCAGCTCTTGACGCATACAGCGCTGAAGTTCCCTTGAAGGGGAGCTCAAGAACTTCATACTGAAAAATAACAAGAGCTTGCAAATAGGGTAACATTCGGATACAATTATAAGGATATGAACTGATAATGTATTAACTGCCCAAGCAACATCACTTGGCAACACTGCTCATAAAAGTCATGTATCATCGCCCTATATAGGTTCCTATAGGTTGCTTCTATGCATACATTGAGTGTGTGTTACGGTGGAGTTTATGGCAGGGGCGTAGCCAGGGCCGGATTTACGCATAGGCATTCTAGGCACGTGCCTATGTTCGCTCGTCCAGGGGGGGCCCAAACACAATGAAGAGATATATAATATTTTTGTTATACTATGGGATATCTGCAACAGTAAAAGAACCAAAACCCCAGAAGACATTGAGCAAATAAATATAACAAACAATAGGGTAAAAATGACAAACTATTTCCATGTCTTCAACCTTTTTTATGTACAGAAAACACGCTTTCCTTCTCCCGTTCTCTCCCACTGGAACATTTTATGTTTGTTAAATTCAAGTTTTTGTTTTTTAAAGGAACGACCAAGCGGCAGACAGTGAGCTGAGCATTATGTTTGACCAATTTAGCCTTCTCAAACTAACACAACTTGCCTAAAATAAACAGACATAAAACACTTCATGCATTTCACAGTATTAATTTGAACATTTAACCTAGATAAACGAGCGCTGTTAGGCACATATCCAATCGTTTGCGCGGAGAGTGGAAGCTGAAGCGCGCGCTGCAGGACATGGAGACGCCAGCGTGATCACTTGCATTTAAGGAGGGTGGGTAAATGATGACAGAAGAATATCAGAGAATACAGTATAAACAAGAAGAGACAGAACTTCATAGAAAGGCTGTGACATGACTACAAAAGGACTTAGCGTCAATACAAAAATATTCCTTATTCTATATAAAATAAAACAAATAAAAAACATATTGCAACGTAAAATAACATTTTTTAAAAATGTAGACCTTTAGGAACAGCCAAGAACAACATACATAATGGCTTTCATGCAATAGATAGACTAATTACAGTGACTTAACAGTGATGGGTTTTCTGCTGGGACTGTCGCCAGTACTGTTAAAGACATTATTAGAGCAGTAAAGGTGAGTCTGGCCAGAAACGTTTCCTCTGCGGGAGTCTGTCTGTTTGCCATCAGAAGCATCACAGCACTAGTAACGCCAATGTCATGGGTTTGATTCTCAGGGAATGCAAGAACTTCTGACATGCAATCAAGTGGCTTTGGATGAAAGCGTCTACCAAATGCAGAAATGTAAATGTAAGCACAGGACAGGAGAGCAGGCAGCTCACATTAATCATCAATATGATACAGGTCTGTTAAGACACACAGAGACTGACAGCAATATAAGACATGACACAACAGAAACATGACGTCACGTACATAACCTACCCACAAACAAACACGCCGCATTACAACCTATTTCATTCAATTCAGCAGCTTTATTTCATCACCATATCTCATGTAACAGTTAGATGTTATTTCATGTATGATTAAACTAAAAAATTAAAATCCACACATATTTATAAACAAAAGCATTTTATTTCAGTTGAATTGGAAAAGTCGTGAATGGCTTCTCCGACTCTAATGGCAGTTTTATTTTGTATCAGTCTTAGCAGACTTTACGCAGTGAGGACATGATCCTGATCACTAATCAGTGATTTCTAGGGGCCGTTTATCTGGTTTATATTTTGTCTGGTGGAAACATACAGAGCGGCAGTGAAATCAGCACACTGATGCTGGACACAGGATAACACACACACACACACACACACACACACACAGAGAGTGCTCTCCCACCAGAAATGAAATGCAGCGTCATAGCACCTGCAAATGATAATGTTCCACTGACCCACAATACACTGTAAAGGCAGAGAAATATGACACTTAAAAGTTCAAGTCTATCATCACGCCTGCTCATCCTGTACAACACTGAAAACACTCACAGACGCACACGTTTAAACACACAGACAGGTATGGTTGAATGTTAAAGTCCTTAAGTATGTGGTGGGAAAACGCTCTTCATGGTCCAGGCTGCATTTGTGACCTCAAGCTGCAGTGAATAATGGGAATAAAGCGCTCATTCGGCAAAGAATGGATGTTCCAAAGCATTCAGCGCAGAGATTCGTTTCAACGGGTCGAACGTCAGCATTTCCTGTTCAGACAGAGGAAGATGAGAGTCAACAAAAGGGTGTTCATTTAGTTAGTTTATTTGTTTAGTTATTGTGTGTAGAAACCAGTCAAAACAAACATTTAAATTAGTGTTATTTATTTAGTATCACTATTTTATATACTACTCAGAGGTCACGTTAACCGCAAATTTTCCGTCATTTATGTAATTTTTTTTTAGCAGTGACAGAAAAATCTGAAGGCCGTGCGTCACTTCGACAGATTACACTGCGGGTGATCTATTGCAATTTATAACTGTAATTCCAACACCTGTCCAGTTGGTGGCTAGTGCGCTGCAGTGTGGCAGAAGAGCACGGGATCATCAGATACAGAACAAAAATAAAGCTGTCACCAGTCTTTTGCTATGCCTTTGATTATGCACAGGTGAGTACCCACTAGTAAAGCGAAAGAGATGATCAGTTCACTGCGCTGCAGCTTCGCTTGATCTGAGGTGTCTAAAGCGGTCTATCTCACCACATTAAAGAGCGGCTGCAATTTATAACTGTAATTCCAACACCTGTCCAGTTGGTGGCTAGTGCGCTGCAGTGTGGCAGAAGAGCACGGGATCATCAGATACAGAACAAAAATAAAGCTGTCACCAGTCTTTTGCTATGCCTTTGATTATGCACAGGTGAGTACCCACTAGTAAAGCAAAAGAGATGATCAGTTCACTGCGCTGCAGCTTCGCTTGATCTGAGGTGTCTAAAGCGGTCTATCTCACCACATTAAAGAGCGCCAAAACGGTATTTATTGCTTGTATTTCCTAATAAAATGGACAGAATTTGAAATCTGAGACTTTGTTTCATATCAAAAGTAACAACGTACAAAGCTTAGCCTATTGAGATTTATTGGATGGGAGGCGCGCTATATTTACGGTTCATTCATAAACAGAAAACAGAATCGACTGGGATTTAAGAATCGATATTGGTACATAAAAATGAGAATCTATTAAAATCGAGAAATCTATTTTTTTTTTACCCAGCTCTAGCATGTTTAGTTGTTTTTAGTGGCCTCTGCTGTCACTGCGGTGTGTGTTGAACATGAAAAGTGACGCACCGTCTCTGTTCATCTGTTCTCTTCATAAATAAATGCATAAGCGTATATGCTCGTCCTGTAGCTTCATTATTAAAAATTAAAATGTGAATAAAAATACAAGCAATTAAACGTGTTACTATAATAAAAAAATTTAAATTAAAATGACGGGCAACAATAGATTATGACGGAATTTTTACGACCCTGTCCGTCAATGTTAAAGTCTAACGCAACCTCTGATACTACTATAGTTTTTTACTTTTATATTTTCATCTTAATTTTGATGTTATAGTAATTTTGTTTTTATTATTTGTATTCCGTTAAAGTGGTTTTAGTATTTCAAATAAAATTTGCAACTAGCTGAAATAATCATATATATTCTTTTTTTTCCAGTTCAGTCCATTTAAGTTCATTTATTTTAAGTAATAAAAACAGTTTTATGGACGATGATAATAACATTATTAACCCAGATACAAAAGAGATTTGGAAGATAATATTTGTGATTTCTTTGCCCCATAAAAATAATCTAGCTTTTTACAGTTTTACAGCTCCTTTAGCACATTGACTGTTGTTGTTGTTGTTTTTTACTCTGGTAACATTGTAGCTGTATGTGAAGTGACAGTGAACGTAAACGCACCAATAAGAGCTCCACCCCCTTCTCACTGATCTCAGGAACGCAGTCTGTGATTGGCTGAGGGGTTTGAGGGCTGAAGTTCTGCCGGGACAGAGTGACATCAGTGGGCCACTCGTCTTCAGCCGGCAGGCCGATCACCCTGTCAATCGACACCAGTGTTAATCACACGCTGATTTAATAAAGCAATGAAATACGCACAGTCACTGGACAAGAATCTCATGTGAAATGTTGACTATGTCTATGTCGAGTCAGTGGTTCAGGCTCATCAAGTGCTGTGACATGTCAGTCATTGCTGCTGTCGCTCATGTAATGAGAGATGTTTGCCAAAGATGATGATCTGCCATGACATGTACTGTGCTGGTCTCTCCATTATCAGCCTCTCAAACATGAGCATGTGTGTTTTTACGTACGCAAAAATCTTGCCCAGTTGGTCCACCTCTGAATCTCCACAGAAGAGAGGTCTGAAAGATGAGATGTCACATTACGAATCATTAATAACCAATGAATCAATGAGCTAATCAACAGACCTGATGGGAAAATAGAGCCATTAATCAATGGTTTATAAAAACTTTCATAAGCATAGTTCTGAGTGGATGAGCCACATTCAAAGCTGCTGAGAAATATACGATATACTGCTGAGTAGTATATAATCTGCCATTGTATATTACAAATATTATTGGCTCTCTGATGAATGATATCGCTTTGGATAAAAGCGTCTGATAAATGTAAATGTATCTGCGTAAGTCCATACAGAACAAACCAATAAAATCTCAAAATAAATCATGTATTTCAGATTCTTTTACTTAATTAAACAGGCTGCATTCAACTGCAAAACAGGGTAACTGCAAGTTTGAAATACTCAAGACATGTTTTATTTAATATACTGAAATTGGTTTGCAGTAATATGTTAATATATAAGAATTAGAGGTCGATTGATACTGAATTTAGCTGATACAATGATGATATATTTCAAGAAATCAATAACCAGGTTATTGTGCCGATATTTGTAAAATCTAGTGCTGTCAAACGATTAATCGCGATTAATCGCATCCAAAATAAAAGATTTTGTGTACATAATATATGTGTGTGTACTGTGTATATTTATTATGTGTATATAAATACATGCACATGCATGTATATATATATATCAGGAAAATATGTTATGTTTATATATTAAATACATTTATATATAATATAAATATAAATATTAACTATATACATGTAAATACACATACATATTTTCAAAATATATACTGTATGTGTGTGTATTTGTACATGCATAATAAATATACAAAGTACACAGATATATATTATGTAAACAAACACGTTTATTTTGGATGCGATTAATCGCGATTAATCGTTTGACAGGACTAGTAAAATCTATATATTGAATGTTCTAAATAAATAAGATTCTAAATAAGAAATACAATTCCTGTGAATTTGGTTCATTAATCAAGCTAATTCTTATGAAAAGGTTCATCATTTACTGGACGCCGGTAAAGCAGCATCTTTGAGGGCTTTAAAAAAAAAAAGCATCATTTTGATGTGCACTAATAGGACACTCAATAATTGCACATGAGCATTTACAGCCACCTGGAAGATGCTTTCAGCCTGATTAACTATTAAACTGCACACACAGCCCTTTATGAGCATCACTGTCAGACTCACTTGCGTCTGAACATCTCAGCGAAGATGCAGCCGGTGCTCCAGATGTCCACCGGCGTGGCGTAAGTGGTCTGGAGCAGCACCTCAGGAGAGCGATACCACAGCGTCACCACCTGAGTGGCAAGAGAAGACAGCATCAGATGTGTTTGCACTGCAGTGCGATCGGCGCTCAGGACGCGAGAGCAAGCATTTCCGTCTCACCACCGGTGTGAGCGCCATGTGGCAGCTGTAGATCCGCGCCAGACCGAAGTCAGCCAGCTTCACCTGCCCTCTGCTGGTCACCAGGATGTTCTCCGGCTTCAGGTCCCGATGCAGAACTCGATTCGAGTGCAAGAACGCCAGACCACACAGCAACTGCTGCATCAAATCCTGCATCACACGCAAACACAATGCATCTGGGTTACGTTTTATTTGCATGTGTTCTTGTTACAGTGTAATTAGTGAGTAGAGTAATATTAATAACTGCATGTATGTACTAGAAGGTTTGGGTTTGGTTGAAATGTTAGTTGCTTGTAAAAACTTGCGTGTACTTACAGTGTACTGGGTAACGACTTGGGTTAAGGTTAGGTTTAGGGGTAAGTTAAGGGTAGGTATTTAGTTATTACCCAGTTATTGTAATTACTATAACATGTGAAACAGGACTGTAAAATAAAGTGCTGCTGTTATGCACGTTACATGTGTAACAAGAAAACTGAAATGAAATGTGTTACCTACATCTGTCTTGTGTGATTGGAACATGGGTGGCTCATTTCATTTCAAAGCATTTCAAACCTTTCTGTTGACATGTTTTAGGTGAGCTTTCGCCGCTGCCCATCAGGACATGTAAGTGTTTGCATTACATATGTAATGATGTGTTTCTAAACATTGTCCAAAAATACAGCAACAGTAATATTGTAAAATATTTTTGCCATTTACAATAACGCTTTTCTGTGTGAAATATCTTTCAAATGTAGTTTATTCCAGTGATGCAAAGCTGATTATTATGCTGATTCGCTGCTCAAGAAACATTACTTAATATCAATGTTAAAAACAGTTCATTCTTTTTTCTTTTTTTTTTAATGGAAACTGTGATACATTTTATTGCTCAGGATTCTTTGGTGAATAGAAAATTCAAATGATCAGCAGGAGAGCGATACCACAGCGTCACCACCTGAGTGGCAAGAGAAGACAGCATCAGATGTGTTTGCACTGCAGTGCGATCGGCGCTCAGGACGCGAGAGCAAGCATTTCCGTCTCACCACCGGTGTGAGCGCCATGTGGCAGCTGTAGATCCGCGCCAGGCCGAAGTCAGCCAGCTTCACCTGCCCTCTGCTGGTCACCAGGATGTTCTCCGGCTTCAGGTCCCGATGCAGAACTCGATTCGAGTGCAAGAACGCCAGACCACACAGCAACTGCTGCATCAAATCCTGCATCACACGCAAACACAATGCATCTGGGTTACGTTTTATTTGCATGTGTTCTTGTTACAGTGTAATTAGTGAGTAGAGTAATATTAATAACTGCATGTATGTACTAGAAGGTTTGGGTTTGGTTGAAATGTTAGTTGCTTGTAAAAACTTGCGTGTACTTACAGTGTACTGGGTAACGACTTGGGTTAAGGTTAGGTTTAGGGGTAAGTTAAGGGTAGGTATTTAGTTATTACCCAGTTATTGTAATTACTATAACATGTGAAACAGGACTGTAAAATAAAGTGCTGCTGTTATGCACGTTACATGTGTAACAAGAAAACTGAAATGAAATGTGTTACCTACATCTGTCTTGTGTGATTGGAACATGGGTGGCTCATTTCATTTCAAAGCATTTCAAACCTTTCTGTTGACATGTTTTAGGTGAGCTTTCGCCGCTGCCCATCAGGACATGTAAGTGTTTGCATTACATATGTAATGATGTGTTTCTAAACATTGTCCAAAAATACAGCAACAGTAATATTGTAAAATATTTTTGCCATTTACAATAACGCTTTTCTGTGTGAAATATCTTTCAAATGTAGTTTATTCCAGTGATGCAAAGCTGATTATTATGCTGATTCGCTGCTCAAGAAACATTACTTAATATCAATGTTAAAAACAGTTCATTCTTTTTTCTTTTTTTTTTAATGGAAACTGTGATACATTTTATTGCTCAGGATTCTTTGGTGAATAGAAAATTCAAATGATCAGCATTTATTTGAAACAGAAATCTTTCGTAACATTATAAATGTCTTTACCGTGACTTTTGATTAATTGAATGCGTCCATGCCGAATCAAAGTATTTATCTCTTTATTTTTTCTTAACGACCCTACAATCTAGTGCAGTGCAATGCTGAATTCAATAATGAATTTAAAAAATGTTTTTTAAAACACGTCTTTCTGGAGTCATTTTCCCAAAAGCAACCATGGTTGCGAAGTCTGTCGTTACCAACAGAGTTCAAGGACAATTGAGACCATAGTTAGCTAACGATGCTTTTGGGAAACGCACCCCTGAACAGTTAGAACACTACATAATTTCAAGGGAAACATCCAGTAAATATTTTACACCACAAGGCTGTAAAGAAGAGGTTTGGAGCGTCTGAACTAGTGGACGGAAGTCTTGTCTCAGTCTGAAAACTCTTTTGAAAGCATTCAGTTTGAGCCTGAACTTCCTTCACTGTATATTTAACTTATTAAATCACTGAACCGCAAACAAACATTTGGACTTGATCTATATTTATGCCAGTGTGTTTCTACATGAAGCTTCAGATGAAGTCTGACACAATAAACATCTGGATCAGCATGGAAATCCTTTTTCCTCCTCACATAGTTGCTCAGTCAAACGACACAAATCCTCTCCACAGGAATAAACCTACAGAGCTGGATATGCAAGTCCTGTACCGGCTTCTGCAGCGTGTGAGCGAGTGAACATGTTGGTGATCTTACTCTGATCCGGTCGATGGACAGTCCGGGTGCCGGCACTTTCTCCAGATACGTCCTGAGGTCCTGATCCACGTGTTCAAACACTAGAGTTACTTTAGTTTCCTGGTCTGTTCTCAGTGTGGCGCACACGTCCATCAGCCTGAACACACACATCACACAAATCAAATGTGCCTGTTTGTATGCAGATAATAACAGATGCAGATAATAAGAATTTATTTTATTTTTAAAGTATATTTTCCTTTTTTCCCCCTAAAAAAATAATTTTAGATATCAGTATTTAACATTTTGCATCAAACATCAAAACATGATTTATGCATTTATAACTGTAGGTTAACGGCATTCACACCCTGCATTAAACAGCCTGTGTAAATGCATCTAAATGCCACTTCAGATGCAGCTTCTGTGCCACCTGTGCATTGCAAAGAAAGATTTTGTTGATACTGATTTCATTTGATTGGTAACAGCCCTATAGTGTCTTACTATTTGAATTGAATTTATTGATTAAATGTAAGAATTCGACAAAAAAGATGATGCATACATTTAATTAGGTTAGAGAAAATTGGTCTTATAAAGGTAAAAATACACATAAATTATAAAAATCTATTTAAACGTATTGGAAAAGCTAATTTCTGTTACTTTTGCAAACTAACTACCTCATGTTATGAAGAATATCAAAAGCTTTAGGAGTCGTCTGTCCATGGCAGTCCTAAACCTGCCAAAATACCAACACAATAACTGTTTTTGCTCATTTTGCAAACAAAAATATTATCTATAAAGCTACAGCAGAACTGTTGTGTGTCTCCGATCAACACACAGCAGTAGCCTAATTTGTTTCTAAGGGTGTATTCACGGACCAAATACAATATTGATTTTTTTTGTTTGGTGCGGTTCGCTTTCACACTGCTCTTTTTTGCAAGTGAACCAGAAATTGTAAACAAAACCACACGTGTGCTAAGGTCATCCATTCATTGGACAGAAATTCTCAAGCAGGGAAAACAGGAAGTGCAAAACAGGCTAATCATGGAAATCTTTCGTAGTGCAATTTTTATTCTTTTACTGATTTGGTGTTATCAGATACTAACGCAATATAAGGAAACTTATGAGCATCATATGAGACAATGTCATATGTAACGAATCAGCTCATGGGAAATATGAATAATTAACCATAACTAGTTATAATTAATTATGAATATTTTAGATCCGCTGTAGATATTTACTTGACCTCTCAGGGTCAACTGTCTTGTCAATTCTAAGAACGTTAATTTCCTGGTTAAGGGAAATAACTTTCTTACTGTACAATTTTACAAAAGCTTGTAGCATAAATCTGCATGATTAAGTGACTCCAGTTATTAGCAAACAATGAACAACGTCAAGTGTGATACAAGTAAGGTTTTATTAACTACATAAACACTTAAACTAGTCCAACATACTACATAAACACATAAACTGGTCTAACATACACATACACACACACACACACACACGCATACAGTTGGTATAGGAAAGGGTTAAAAGCTTAACGCAGTAAAGAGAAGAGAAATAAGGAATATGAAGTTATAGAACCATTTGCATATTCAGCAGATTTACACCTGAGGGAAACATCAGATTCTTAGTTCAAACACACCTTTGTAAAAAGGTGAAAATGATACCTAATGTATCAATTAATAAGACTAAGTTTGGATACTTACAAGTCTCATCTGTCTGAAAGAGAGGTTTGATGTAATCTGAAGTTTCCAGTTGATCTGTACGCATTTGGGGGGGAAGGGTTCATGGGTCCTCATATGGCTTGTTAACTGAGGGGGGTTACAGAGTATTTGTTAAATATAAAAACAAAATATATATTGTGTGTTTGAGTGGTCCAGACGCTACACATACGATGTTGTAAGTACGACTTGTCAAAAATAAAATCTATAGATAAAATACTTAAAGCATATCACAATGTTAGTTTAAACATTTAACCTAGATAAATGTGCACTATTATGTGCATATTCAATCGTTTGTGCGGAGAGTGGAAGCTGAAGCGCGCTTCAGGACATCAGTGGAAACAAATTAAATACGCCGTCATTTTTGCTCATAAAGGTAAGAACAATACATCATTCAGAACTGTAAAGGGTCTACTTTTATTTGCGTGCACTCACAAGATCAACAAAACGTTGTGCTTTTGTAAAATATAGAAAACAAATAGGATGCGTTTGCCGTCTCTGTGTTGAACAGGAGCGCTTCACAAAAATGAACCAATAGCGAATATTTTCCTTACAGACATGATGAATATATCTATAGAAAGCTTTAAATGACCACAAAACTAAATAATTCAAATCCCCCAAAAAATTTTCATTATTTCATACTTTCATTATGTAATCCGTAAAGATGCATTTATTTTCACATCCATGATGAGATGGCGAGTCAGGATCATCAATTTCATCTTTGCGCCACTGACTCAGAAAACGCTAGTTAATTAATAAATAATTCAAAAATCTCCTTACTAGTTTCCCCCAACATAGTCATGGTAATTTTTGCGGCAAGCTTTAGCCTATTTAGCGCGCTCACGTCACGTTGCTGTGCACCATGGTCACAAAAACTCATCATTTGCATGCATTTTTAAGCATTGTGGTTTAAAAACAAGTGATTTAAGCCATTGAAACGCAAACAACAACACTTGTGCGAGCTGTATGTTTCTGAGCGGGATTTCTGCAATTGGGTCGGATCGAGGTCGGGTCATATTCACACCTTAAACGAACCGTACCAGAGTTCGTTTGGAAGCGGACTGAGACCACCTCTTCAGCTGGGTCTCGATACAGTTGTTTGGTCCGCACCAGAGTGCGATTGCTGTATTCACACCTGCCCAAAAGGTCCGCACCAAGAGGGGAAACTAACTTGAGTTCGATTCAATCGAACCAAATAAGACAGGTGTGAATACACCCTAAATGAATTATTCAAAGGCCCATAATTAAAGAAATTCATTTACTTCATTCCTGAAGAAGGAATCAGCCATGTGAACAAATCAAATGAATGGATCAAAGAATCAATTACTTACTTATTAAGACATTTACCACCACCTCCTGGCAGTCTTTGATTATTAATTATAGTATAATTTTATTGAAAAAGAATTTCATGTTTCCATATTAATAAAAATCCTATTAAAGGGATAGTTTGCCCAAAAGTGAAAAATTTGTCATTTATGACCTGTATGACAATTTTTTGTCTTTAAATAAAACGTCTCGGTTACGTATGGTAACCCTCGTTCCCTGAAGGAGGGAACGGAGAGGACACGTCGGATGACCGACGAATTGGGATCTCGCTTAGAGAGACCAATCTACTTCGAGTGTAAACTAAACGAGCCAATGCACATTGGCATGCGATTATTGCATCCAGCTGCTGCTTCTTCTCTCAGTAGAGTAGTCAGGAGCAGAACGATGTGATCGCTCTGCTCCGAAGCGAAAAGCTGAATATGGGCTGCATCTGCTGCCTACTTATACTCACGCTGTGATCAGCAGCAGCTGGATGCAATAATTGCATGCCAATGTGCATTGGCTCGTTTAGTTTACACTCGAAGTAGATTGGTCTCTCTAAGCGAGATCCCAATTCGTCGGTCATCCGACGTGACGTCGAGAGTGACCGACTGAAAGGGAACTAAACTGTCTTGGTTACCACTGACCTCCATTGTATGGAGAAGTGAAAAAAAAAACTTTTCTTTTTCTGCTTTTCTCATTTATCACAATATTGGCTTTAAATTATCTTTTGGGGTAATTTCTCAGCCAAATCTGATTTGCGTTAGTTAGATTAATTAATCACCACACCATGTAATTAATTTGATACAAAATTTTTAGCACTTGACAGATCTAGTTTAAACTGAAATTTTGAACAAGACTAGTACTAGTACAGACAGTGTTTAATTACGTACACTGTTAAAAATGTTTGTAATTTTTACAGAAAAATACTGGAATAAATACTACAGTATAAACCTGTTAACTGTAAGCTACAGTGAAAAAAAAACTGTACATGCTTTAACATCACATTATGTGATTTTATTGTAAAATACTGTCAGTTTTATAGCTTTTGCAAGTAAAAATTGTCAATTTTAATATACAGTGAAAACCAGTAATTGCAGCACCTGTATTATCAGTGGTTATCAACGCATTTAAAGGTAAAAAGCAGATATTGGTAGTTCAAGTAATTTGATAAATTAACATATCACTTACTATACGCTTATAAGCTGTAAAATATACAGGTACCAATATGCCATCCTGATACACTTGAAACATTGTCACTGTACTTTTCAGTTAATTCTTTTGGCAACAATAGCTGATTTTAAGCATAAATTTAACAGGATATTTTCAACAGTGTAAGAGACCCTCTAAAAACATTAATCTAGTACAGTGGTTCTCAAGCCGTGGCCCGCCACGAATTCAAATGCGGCCCACCATGCTGAACACAATTTAAAAAATAACTTTCAGTTTTACAATTCATTTTAGTTTTTACATTAATTTAAAAATGTTTTAAAACCGTTTATGTCTAAAATTTTTGAAAAAGTTGTGTCTGCTCAATTGTGTTCCTTGCTGGAAAAAAAAATTATCTCTATGAATAATTTCAGTCAGGTTTCAGGCCCCACTATAGCACAGAAACTGCATTTGTTAAAATAACAAATGACTTGCTTCTTGCGACCAAAGCTGCATCTCATTGCTAGTTTTACTTGATCTTAGTGCTGCGTTCGACACTATAGCTCATGACATACTCATAGATCGAATACAAAACTATACAGGTATTCAAGGGCAGGCTTTAAGATGGTTTAGATCCTACCTGTCCGAAAAACCACTTTGTTTATTTTAACGGGGAGTCATCTCAATTATCACCAGAATAGTATGGCGTAGGGCTGGACGATATGGCCAAAATTGATATCACGATATATTTCTTAATTTCGGTCGATACGATATAATTCCGATATCGATATGAACACTATTTATCTGAAATAGAAATCTTTTGTAACATTACAAATGCCTTTATCATCACTTTTGATCAATTTTAAGCATCCTTGCTAAATAAAAGTATAATTTCTATAATTTCTTTCCC